ACTTAACCATTAGACCACTGAGCCGGCTTCCAACGGTGTTAATGTCTAACTTCAACTAATCCACGAAGTTGCGCCAAAATAGTTTTACTTATCAATAATAATGTGCATTATATAGCTATCTAATTTAAACCTAAAACGTAGGAATTTATTCAAATATCAAATTGATGAGCTGATATCATTATGTTTAACCCATAGTCCGAAAATTTAAGAAGGTTGGCATAAATAACATTGAAATAAGTGAGTATATGTTTAAACGAATAAATATGTGGTTTTATGAGTGTATGGTATTCGGGAATCAGTCTTTCACGGATTTCACACAATCTGCGAACTTCGAAGTATGTCAATAGTTTAGAGTCAATTGAAAGAAGAATTATTCCTCGTTAGTCATTGGATGGATTAAGTAACCTGTTTTTAAATATTTGGACAATTATTATTTCATTCTAGTATGTTAGACTATTGCTTCATATAACCTTCCAAGCAACCTAGTCTGTTCCTTGACCAGAAGCCTACCACCGAGCAGGACTTTCTTGACGTGGCATATGAACACACAATCGTGCTAATGCATTTCAAGAGGGAGAATAAACTTTCGTCACTCTCGACCGTACAATAGCATTTGGAGGTGAAGAATAAACATACCTATTTGATTATGGCATGTTAATTCACATCTCTAATTGTAAATTACTATTGTTATGATGATAACTTATCTAATAATTGTATATAAAAAGAGATTCATGCTGTGAAAGTCGTTAAACTTCTTACAGTTTTTTAAATAAAAACCAACATCATTTGTGTAATCATAACCACTAATAATTCATGAAAATTCTAACATTCATCTATCTAAAAGTCAAATATATATATTACACTATAATAGATCTTCATGAACTTAGTTAGTAACAAAATTTCAATCTCAAAAAAAACATATCTCTGTTATTGTTTTGCTTATTGTATCATTTATTATTATTATTATTACTATTCTGTGACTAATAAAAGTAATAATTTCTTATATGAATGGCTTTTCTCAACTATTAGTTAAAACGTTTATTTGTGATAAGCATGATAAAAACTATTTCATGGTAATATGTGCACATCTATCTATATATAGATGCGCTCATTTGTGTTTTGTATTGAAGAACAAATTAGTTTCAGCAGATATTTATTGATTTGTTAATCAGATATCGATTCAATCTATACACATGATAATATGAATCATGCCAGTATATTTGTGTATGACTTACTTTATGTGTTTCTAATGATGTTTTGATTTATTATCTAGACAAATAGTAGTGTAAGTATTACACTTATTGTTATGATGATCCGTTACCGCTAAGACTGACTTATTTAATTTTACTTTATTAGGAATCAATATTGAAAGAATCTTTGAGTTATTCAATGAATATTAGTTGTCGTCATACGTTAATTAGAAAAAAAGTAATTTCTTTTGGAACATTACCGTTATTATTCAGGTTTTTTTAACGGTAATGAAAGTATACTGGTAAATATTGGTTAGAAATCATTTATTTTCACTGAATAAATGAATATTTTAAAGTGAAATGTTTTTTTAATTTGCTACTGAGATTAATTTTAACCAGTTAAATAAATCAATAAGAATGAAGATTATTTTCCAGAAGATTCGTTAGTTCTCTATTATTTAAACATGCGTTGAATCTGTTCAGCTCGTAAATATAGAATGCACACCTAATAGATTGTGATTAGCTCTAAATTCAATTCAAAAACAAGAGTGTTCCAACTGTGTAACAAATCTGACACCTCAAAAAATGATGACACTTTGAGATGGGAATTCGCCGAAAATAATGAATCCAAAATTATTCAATTGTAACCAGTGTAAGTTAATACAGAGCCAAACTAAACAATGAGAATAAAGTATGTGATACGTGCAAACAGAAACTAGATACACTATTGAGTGGATGGTATATATTGAACAGTGTAACTGACTAATTTGTAATACATTACTTTTTGGATGTAATTGGGTTTTGTTTTACTTACCGTACAAACCTGTGTAACTTGAAACTTACAATCTAGTTGTAAAATGTTATATATTTGTTAGGAATTAAAGATAATAAATCCGAATCTGCACATTATTTACTGTCAAATTTTTCTTTCATCGTACACACCTTATTTTCAAAATGAACACTAATCCTTCCAGTGTTACATCTTGAATTCGAACTCCAACCCATCTACTTCGATTTTTCTAGCCATGTATTGTTGGTAGTCACAATACAAAAATATAAACCGAATATTTGTACATCAGCCTGTATATCGTTTCTGAGTTTTGTTTAAGAAGCAATTCTAGACTTAGTCTGTGGTTAAAGACCATAGATGTCATGTCCCTGATTTGTTTTCAGTCCCTTAAATGCATTCTTGACTTCTCTGAAATTTAAGTTTAGTGCTTTTTTTGTACATTGTATTCTTTTATTGCAGTTCTTCCTTTTAGAACAAGATTTCCTATTAGTGACGGTTTGTAATTTATCGTTGTCGGCATTAAAATAGCGCTCGTGCAGCACTTATTCTGACCGTTGCTGCCACCTTAACGTGGTGGTTGGGCTTGCCTATTGTAATGAGCCAATCGTGCTATGTTGACTGGAAAAATCGTTCCTCAAGGTCTTACCACGCCAGACAAGTCGGTTGAAGAGTGGTAAGACTAAAAGCAGCAAACCTAAGGTCCGAGGGTGAAGTCGTACTTCTGACTATACAGAGGTGTGACGGCAGTAAGATGTTTCCTTCAGACAACCAGCATAACAACGATGCTGCCTTCCCACAAGGAGGGGTAGGTTAGAAAAGGTCAACCCTAAAAGTGCACACCTCTCCTTATCCCACGGATATCCGTCTCCGGCGGCAAGGTCTCAACAAGTACAGAGCTAACACGAAAGCTACTCACAATAAGGTCGTGTATGACCAACCTCCAACAGTTGTCTCTTGGGTACTACTATCATGTTCTCAGGTCACTAAGACCACCTCTAACCAAATTTCCTTTTCAGGTACCTCTAGAGGAACTCTTCCACGGTGTGGGCAACCGGGAAGTGATAACCACACCCATACCTTTAACAACAATCAAGACCACCCTTATTCATAATCAACCTCCTTATTTAATTCCTATTATTACTCCTACATCGACTTTCAACTCTAAACTTCCTCTTTTGGCTTCTTCAAAAAGCTCAGCACCAATTTTAAGCATAAGGAGAGACACCGTCTAAAATGGCAACCGCCTGCACCAAACCAACGGTGGACTCATATAGACCATATTAGTGATTTTAACCAAGGAATCACGAAAAACCAATGGATTTCTCCTAAGTCTATTGCACTGATAGATTCTCGTAAATTCTTCCCATCAGGCTCTGAACGCGATGAAGAGCGAAAACAAGTCAAATCTAGGTTAACCAAAAGTCTAAGGAACAACCTTGAGCAGTGGTGGGCAACGAAAGCAAAAGGGATGGAAAGGGCAGTGGCTGTAGGTACCACAAGACAGCTTTCAGACTAATAAAATAAACTGTAATTAATAAGTCATGTGTAAGTGAGACTATCTCAGGAAAAGACGACACTCTTATCTGCTCCCAGTTCAGACGTTTAGAACGATGGGTGGAACGTTTTAAGGAGCAGTTCATCTGATCTTCAGCTACTCTACAACTACCCACCATTCCTAGACAGCGTGAATGGAACATTGAAGTAGGCCTCCGACTCTAGCTGAAGTCCAGAAGGCTATAGTTAATCTGAAACGAGGATGGGCAGATGGTCCAGATGGATTGGCTCCATAGGTCTTTAAGGATGGTGGTTTAATTTCAGCGATTAGGTTGACTAATATTTTGGCTAAGATCTGGGAGTTAAACGTTATCCCATCTGACTGGTTACAGTCGCTTATTATCCCAATATATAAGAGAGGATCAAAATAATTTTTCGATAACCACAAAGGGATTAATTCGGCTAATATATCATCTAAATTGTAGCTGACTGTTTGACTTAAGAACTTTGACCGACTGATCTTTGTCGCCATATATGCATGCTGAACAGTTTGCTTTAAATAACCTTTACTCACAAATGACAGTTTTCTCGGTATTTAGCTAGCAGTCAAATTCAAAACGTGCGTTCATCCTATTTGTGACTTGTCATTTGGATGTACCTAGATCCTAGTGATGATGTCCACGGTGAAGCCGAACTCCAGAACCTCTTGGTTCACACACGCCCTACCTTCCAATTTACTGGGTTCTAGTAGCTCAGTGGACAATGCGTTAGCGTTTGCACTAGAATACTATGTTTGATTCCTATATTATGTTTATCTTCCTCTTATTATTATCTCTTTTTCTTTTCCTCCTTTCAACTTTCACTCATAGGGGTGATTTCAACTTTGATAATATAAGCGTGTAAATTTTGCTGCTCGGTCCCATATTGTTTAGAACTCAATCACAACTTGTTTTACAAAACTCTTTATTTAAACTTGACCTAATATTAAATGTCAATTTATGCATTTTGCAATTACATGCAAACTGAATAGAAGTCAGATCGTTTGGTAGGAAAGTGACGTTACATCAATAGTTTTGTCATCATAGTGATTAGTAAGCAGGTTAAGTCTGTAGACAATCCTTCTATTCTTATACATCACTGAATACAACCATCATCGTTCCTCTCTAATTTGCCGTTACATTTTCATTTCACCCTCCATTTTTAGTCACGTTTACTCCACAGGAATAATTTAATGATTTTTATCATAAATAATGGAATTTACTGTTAAATTTACCAAATCAAACATTCAATTCATTTCTCTGAGTAAACAAATAAATTCATTTTAAGCATTTTACAAAAATATGTCATTTTATATTATGTCCTTATTAGAACAAAATTGTACACTTTCCGATTCAGGTTTATTCACTTACTTTGTTTTTGTAAAAAAAAACATTTTAACTGTAAACCAATTTGTAAATTGATTAAATTTATACTGTTTTTGTTTTGTATGTATTCATGTCATATATTTCTCTTTATGTATGTTACAGTTTCGTCGGTGGTTTATGGCATATGGAACTTTCTAATAATTATTTGATTATACCACGTGGTCCATCGATAAATCAATACTCCTCCTCCACTCAATTATGCTTTAATATCCAACTTTTTGGAGTTCACTTATCAGAGTGTTTATTTCCTAGTCAAACCATCACGACAACAAAGAAAGCAAATGAACTGAGGACACAAAATATAAAATTGGAATCATTTGAAGTTAGTTTAACTAAAGTTCTTAATTTTTTCGATCTAAAATTGTATAATGATCTGTTTTCATTCACAACACACTTTACACTAGTAATAATAATACTTTTCAAAACGATATTAGACATATCACACATGGATTTTGATGATATGACAGTTAGACCACGTGTAAGGGAAGTTATGGTTTTGTCTGACAAAGATACTTTCGTTTAGAAAACATCTTCAAATGTGCTGATTCTAATGTTCAGTCTATACTGTAGATTTTGTAGCAGTCAACTTTAAGCCGTATTGTAAGCAGATTTTTCGATAGAAATTCGTATACACATTTTCTTTACTTTTTACCTGTAATGTTTAAATGGGTGGTTAGAAAATTTACCATGCAGTCACTTTTGCCAGTGTCTCATTACTGTAAACTAAAATAAGAAATGTAGTCAATACCACGATCACGCAATCAGGTAATGGCTTCAAATTAGTATACTATATTCCTAACTTACTATTGTGTTGGAAGAAACATAAGGTCGGTTACATCACAATCAGATATAAGTTCTTGGTGCTATTTGCTTAGGGGATGTACATGCTTCCTGAATGGTATGTGCATAATAACCATAATATATTGCTGAAAGTCATCAGTTTCATGTCTTAGAATTAATTGTCATTAAACAACTGCATTCACTCTACTATCTTCACTTGAATCTTATTCCTCTTTACTTTTCATTTTCGACTCCTTATTTTCGCAAATTATCGTCTTTTACCATACACTATTGTTATGATCTTCATACATCTAGTTTTTTTCCCATTTATTGCATATTCGTTTGTTAATTATGGTGTGTTAACTTAAAACGGTACACGTATGTCCCAGGTCCTGATTTACAACTGACTATCTATATGATTAATAACAGCTAATTCTTTGGTTTGTGGTGTATTATATATATCCGTGTGATATCAGTCAGATTCCTTCTAGTTCCCTACGCTTGTTCACTATCCTGAGAAAGTTTTATAACTCCGAACATTACCAGTTGTGTATGTGAGATTTAAGTGAAATACAATTTAGTAAAGTACCAAAGTCAATAAGAATAACGACAATCACTTCGATTAACGTAGTTCTAGTATCTTTTCAAATTAAATCGCTCTGTTATTATTTGGTTTAATAGACTATAAATTTTTTTAGAGAATAAAACCCAAGTCATCGTCAAATGTATGGTAAACTCAGACGTGATGCAATCGTTTACATGCAGTTTAGGTTTTTAGTGAAGCATGGGTCTTCTTTTTCAATAATAATTACTTTTGCTGCATAGTGCATTTTACTAACGACTGATTTGAAACTTTGTTTCAACGAAATGCTTTTTGACTCACCTCTGAATGGTAGGGCGGTAGGGTAGACAGGTTTTTCGGTTCCGAATTTGTAGATCTCATATACTATAACCTTCCCATCGATTTATAAATTCTATTCTCCATCAATGTTTAATTCAGTAACCTCACTTCATCATCAATGGTATCGTTCGTACGAATAAGACCAATCCTAATAAATCAGCCCTTTATCAAGCTCTTTTTATATTGAACTGTGCAATGGCTATGATAACTAAGATACTGGTTCACCCAAGTTGGCTTTCTAAAAATTTATCGCCCTACTGAAACATCCCATCTACGTATAAATATGTATGAAAAATGAAGCTGGTTATCGTCTTCATTTCCTCTTATGCTTCCATTCGTCTAGTTCACCCTTTAATTTTTCACGTATAAATGTTCTCAATATATATATATGTGATAAGATTGTTCGAAATGGGCTGCACTACCACATAGTTCTGATAATCTTCATATTGTTACAAATTTAATTAATCATAAGAGACCTTTTTAACGCTAATAAAGAATTTATTACATTGTCTGCTATATACATACACTGCTCAATTCGTCTTACAAGGTCATATTGTAGACAAAATGATGTAAGTGGAGAAAAAAGGTGGTGTTCCGGGAAAATTGGTAATAGAAAAAGTTATATATGGCACAAAAAGCTACATGAATACAATACATAGTATGCTAAGTTGAGATCGTTGTACTTTTTGTATGTGCGTTTGTTTACAGTATCTTTAGATATGTATGTGTCAATGAAGTTTCTGTGTATAGTATGTCCACTTTGTTTTATTAATTCATTAGCGTCATCGTGTAAACAATGGTTTCCTACATCATTTTTCATCATTTATATAATTATTATTATCATCACTACTGAGTTTATTTGTTTTGGGTTGGTTTTTTTAGGGCTTTCTCAATGAGTTTGTGATTAGTATTATTCACACTATTACTATTATTATTTTGTTCAACAGTAAAATTCAACTTCGAATGATTATCTTCTTTCATCATTGTTGTTGTAGACTGTGGAAATCTGGCACTTCTTAATGGTTTAACATTTATAGTTTTTGATTTCAGTGATGGTTGTAGTGTCAATGTTGAGAAAGGAGGCAAAGATGAATGAAGGGATAAACTATTCACATTATTGTTCACTTCAGTATTATCTTGATTTGACTCAATATCCGTTAATATTTTATTAACATTCGATTTGATTAGTTTTGATTTGTCGTTTAAAATGAATGGTGGAGGTGGCGGCGGTGGTGGTAATGGCAGTTCATAATCTAGTGGCCAATATTTGTCAGATTTTTTGTTTTTATTCAACTCTGATCCTCTTGTAGAATTATTGTTTTTACTTTTATTGTTAGTTTTGTTATCGGAAAATGTTTGAATGCTGTATGTATTATCCCCTGTTATTTTAAGCTTTTGATGTCTTGGTGGTCGTATTGGTCTATTATTATTATTATTATTATTATTATTATTATTATTATTATTATTATTATTATTATTACTATCATTACTATCATTACTGTCAATAATATTATTATTAGTCCCAGTTAGTTGATTACTACAAGTTGGATGTGGTAGTGTGCTAGTACTATTATTATTAATAGTATTCAAAGTGTTTGTAGGTGGCGGTTTTACTGAAGCAATCGGAGGTAGTTGTTGTTGCGGCGTTGAATTGAATGGATTCATTAATATCATATTGGGATAATTTATCGGCTCAATATGTATTAAGTCAGTGACGTATTCGTCAATTGGTGATTTTTTAGTGATTGACTTCATTTGATTACTGACTGATTCCGTTGTTGTCTCATTGGATGACAAAATTATTGACTTATTATCAATGTACTTATCATGGTACATTGGTAGATAATCTGTATGTTGTTTGATATGCTCTGGTTCTATGAATGGTGTAGCATATTCAGGCTCTTTAGGTAATAAGAAAAAAGGTTTCGGCAATTCAGGACCTAGAAATTTCACATCACTTTCGCTGTGCACTTGTCGTGGTTCCTGTTGTGTTGGTGTTGATAGTGGATGGCTGTCTCTCTTTGACGTTCGATCACGTTTCAACCATTTACATGTTTGTTCAAATTTGCGTCGACTTGCAGACAACCAGTTATTTCTTAAGTTTATATTACTCTTCTCATTATTCTCTAGTCTAGCTCGTGCTGAAACTATTAGTCTAGTTCTTCTAAATACACCTTTTAAGCTTGCTCTACTACTTGTTAGTATGGATTTTCCAGCCTTTATACTTGCAAAATCACTATTATCTAGACTCTTGTCTCTCCATGGTAGGGCACTACGACGAATGCTACCAGTCGATACGGGAGAACGTTTCTTTTTCGTATCATAATGTCTTAATAAATTAATTGGCGCTTCTGTCGGTTGTTGCATTGATTGCTCTTCCATCTTCTTCTTGGCTAATTGTTTAGCGCTTCTTCGTAGATTAAATGGAATCATTCCGGTTGATGAATGTGTTGGTAATTCAATTCTTGTATTCTGATATAAATCTCCAATACTTCTACTTTTACGTGGTGTAGGTAACGGTGGCAGTAGAGCATCAGGTGGCTGTCTAAGTGATCTCACTGACTGATCATTATAAATCTGTAAAAGAGTGTGAACACTTGCACTCGCCTGTAAAGGTTTTCCATGTATATAAGTGCTTCTCTGACTATTCCGTGCCCGCAGATAAGAATTAACTAATAAATCTGGTTGACTATTTTTTCTTACCTGTAAAATTGATTTTTTCTCATCATCGGAGCATTCAGAAGCACGATTTGATTCAACAATATGAGATCTTTTTCTTTCTCGGTTTCTCTGTGTTTTACTCTTAAACATAGATTCCTTATCGGTATCATTAATGTTGATAAATCGATTCAACGATTGTGTTTCTAAATCAGTAATACTATGATTATTCAAATGTTGTACATTATTTGCATGATTTGCAAAAATACTGTTTTGTGTTTCATTACTATCTTCCCTTCTATGTGATTTTGGTCTCATTAATTGGTGACCAGTTTCATTTGTTTTTGAAATACAAGGTAAATGTTTCATTGTGCAACCACAAAATGAACATTGTTGTCGTTTCTTATTTGTGCAATTACTACATGATGTAAACAAATTACAACTGGATGATAAAGAATAACATTCAAATTTTTTAAATGATTCACTTACTTTATTTAATCGTTTATTAATGAGTTTTCTATGCTTGACGGATGATGATATATATTTGTGATGTGTATTTCGTTTTAATCGTATACATAACCAAATAATAATGATAATACTGATGATTATAAAACATAACGCAGCTATTCCAGCTACAATAATTAAAGTGTATGCTTCATTCGATATTGTTGTTGCATTCTCCAGTATAATTGATGGCCCATTGTATGATGCACTTCCAAATCCACTTTCAGGTATCATTTCTTGTCGTGTTTGTAAAATTTCTTCTAAACTGGGACTTTGTGTTTTATTCAATTTCCAGCATGGTTTTAATATCTCTAAAGATTTCATATCTTTACCATAAATATCTGGTCTAATTTTACAATCAACATGTTCTTCCATGTAAAGATCATTTGGTGTTAATGTTAAAAAACTTCTTCCAGTCCATTGATTTTTTCCATAACATGTGAAGTTGATTGCTTCATTTAAATATTTTTGAAATCCAA